CTAGCAGAACCGAACTGATCAAGTCAAATCGTTCTGGGCCAGGTCTGGTTGACCCGACCGAGTCAACCCGGACTGAGTCAACTCGTCTGAGTCAACCATTGACTTTGACTGTTGACTTTGATCGAAAAGTCAAAATTTTTGAAAAGTCATAGTTTATGTTTTTCGACGTCTTGAGTCCGAATCCGAAGTCCGTTTTGCCAAATTCGCACCCGGTAAGCTATTTTTCAGTGTTTTATCTTCGGATTCAATTAGATTTCTCAATTAAGTTCAGTTTCTGACGTAAATTCGGTTGCTATGTATCCAAGGAATATTTGGACATTGAATTCAAGCCGAGAGTGATCGAATGGAGTTTAAATGTTTGATTGGTGGAGAACAAAAATCAAGGTAATATTTTACTACCTATTTTCATGCTTTATGGAACATGTTGATAATGGATAAATGCATGAATGTATATGATTGGTCTTTTATGTATGTTTGAATATGGATGGACTCAAATTGAATACGGTTAAAATGATAAATTGGTTAAGACTCGATTGAATTACCTAAAGGAATTATAATACTTGTAGGAAATGATTTCAAGTACAATGATTAATCTGAAGAGCCAATGACATCAGAATTTTTAAATTCTAATTATTTTCGTTAAAAGGTTTATTACCGGAATCACCTGAGTATAAAATTACAAAATTGCCCCCATGGGGTAAAAATGGCCTGGACTGACCTGAGAGCGAAAGTATTATTCTTGTTTGAATAATTCAGAAAAATTAAATTAAATGGAAAGAACTGACTGAAGAAAAGGACTGGAATAACTTTGAATTGTAATATGACCAATTTACCAGAAAAGATACATATGTTTGGATTGATCTGAATTACCAAAATGTCTTCGAGCTACGAAATAACTAAAATAACCTCCAAAGATCAAACGACCAAAATACCCTGAACTCTAAAGGACCTAGAATACTTTGAAGTCTAATTTATCGAAAGTAACGCCACTTACAGAATTGAATGGAATTTCGATAATAAGCTTAAAATGTAAAAAGGACTATGGATGAATATGATAATGGAGATGACATGAGAACTCAAATTTTGATTCGCTTGAACCTTGGAATCACTGATTAAATTCCTAATCTATTTGAAAAACCCCAAAAAAATAAACTTCTACATTTGAAAATTCTTAATATAGTGACTCCCTTGTTTTTAAATGATCAATTGAAGATTAGATTACTGGAAGTGCAACACGTCACATAAGTATTTAAATGATGAATTAATCTCAAGTTTTGAAATAACTAATGTGCTTGGACCCCAAAATGACTAAAATAACCCCGAATACCGAGATGACCTAAATACCTTTATGACTTGGATTAAGTGAATGTCGTTGGATAGACTATGGGAACATAGATGAACCTAAATGATGTACTGCCTCTAAAGGTTATGGAGCACGACCCAAGTTGTCAGACACTTTGGGATGCTATTACAATGTGGAAATGAAATAAATACCAACAGAATACCTATTCGTCTCCTCAAGAACTGGTCAAGGATGATTTTGATATTGATCAGATCAGCTGGTGCAGTCAGTAATAAGAAGTGAATAATAGTGAAGTATCATAGTCCAAATGATTGACAAATATCGCAGTGTTGGGATTGTTGGTTCTATTGGACTCAAAATCATGATAATTAATATATAATCTTAAATCCCACAAATCATCGCTATACTCTTATTAGATTAAATTACTAAGAATTCTCTAAGAATCAAATGTCTAAAATGCCTCTGATTTGCCTGAATAATGGGAACACTCATGTTATCTCTAAATCTTCAATAATTATGATGTAAATGATTCTAAATGCCTTTCTGATACTCAATTGCCTACGAAAAATATATGAATATTGTATGATATTGATAAATCATTTCTCGAATGAATGATTAATCAGTTAGCTATCAAACCTCCCCTTTTTTAGGGATCTTGATTCTGAAATTCTATTAAATTACAAAAGTTTCATAGTTCCCTACCTGATAAATTCCAAGTATATCCGATTAATATATGGATCCTCTAGTGTGTTCCTTATGTGACATGCAAATGTTCTACCTGTTTTAAACGTGATTTTACGAAATCACTGATTTATTGGTTTATGAACCATGGTTACTTGAAATATGTTCTTTGGTTACCTGTTTTCACTGGAAAATATGATCGTTCTTGATTTATGGATCATGTAATCTACTGGTTTATGAAATATGGTTACCTGAAATGTGTTATCTAGTTTTCTATTTTCACTGGAAAATATGATCGTTCCTAATTTATGGACCATGAAATCTACTAGTTACTACTTGAACTATTTTATTGGGACATTATTTGGGTAGACTGAAGTATGGAGGTTCGGCTCTGATCAAGTTGGTAAATCCTTACAAACCTAAGGTGACCTTTGGGTAGGTTCCGAGGCCCCGAGAAACTTTATTGGGTAGGCTCTAGGCCCCAAGGCACTCCCTTGGGTTAATCATGGGACTACCTATGGTGTACGGGTGGAGGGTAGTTATTTGGTTTATTTCATTGTCACGCTTACGAGATTTTACTGGATCACGATCCAGATGAAGTATGGAGGTTCAGCTCTGATCAAGCTTGTAAATCCTTACGGACCTAAGGTGACCCTTGGGTAGGCCCATAGGCCCCAAGGCATTCTCTTAGGGTGGTGGCTCATCTGTTGTGTACTTAGGGTAAGTCCTTATGGATGTAGTTCTGGGGAACTGCATAACGATGTTTGGTTGGGGGTATTACTATGGTTTTTAAAAACATGTTTTAAATTGTTATTGTTTTAAAAAGATATGTGCATTTACACTGGTTTTGGTTGGAACACACTAGACATCCTATTCCGATCTTCTGAAAACTTGGTACTCTGAATGTTTCCTATGAACTGAAATCTTCATGGCTTTTACTCGATAAAATATCAGTGGAACCTTAGCTCATTACAAAAATCTATAGATGACTGAGTCAATAAGGAAAACTTATGATGTTCCTTTTATCTGCATGTCATTCAACATCACTTGGTAGTTCTGTATTACTGAGCTTCCCAAAACTCACTCTTTTACTCACAATTTCAGGTTAAAATAATCAAACTAGTGCAACTATCGACATCAATAAAGGAGTTCCACCGCGTTGCTTGTGGAGTACGGTGCATGTGATTAGGGAGCATGTAGGTTGTATTCTGTTTTTATATATGAGTCTGAAATATGTTTTATTTTTTATATTTTTAAATTTTATTTTAATATATAAATTGTTCTATGATATTACGCGCTTTAACAGAAATTTTAAATTTTTTGGGATTTTTTTACGCTGGGTCGCTCCGGTGGTCCTAATGTGACACCTCGAATCGGATCGGGTTACCCGTATCGGTCTGTGGGTGTTAAACTCCTCCCAGCCCCGCCTGCTGAAATGGAACACGTGATTCAAGAAGAAGAAGCCCATGACATATAAGTGTCTTTGATACATTTATTTCCTTACAAAAAAAATGAAAAATAAAAAAATATTGGATCTATATTTTAATTTAACTTACACAAATTTAAATTATTCTAACAACAATTTTTTGACTTAATGGTATTTGAAATCCTCAAACTTTTACAAAAAATCATTGGTCCTTAAACTTTTTTTTACACTCAGTGTGGTATTTAAACTAATTTTTTAATAATTTAGTTTTGTAATATTTTTGTATTTAATGAATTAAATTATTTTAACAACAATTTTTTGACTTAATGGTATATGAAATCCTCAAACTTTTACAAAAAAAAAATTAATGTGGTCCTTGAACTTTTTTACACTGAGTGTTGTATTTAAACTGATTTTTTTTAATAATTTAGTTTTGTAATATTTTTTATTTAATGAATTAAATATCTTAATAAGTGTTTATACTTTATATTTTAAATTCAAATAATTTCTTAGTTTTTCTAAAAATTTAAATAAGTCCTCAATTTAAAAAAAATCAATTAGGCCTCAAACTTAGGTAAAAAATCAATTAAACCCATATACTACATCATCGTCATTCGTGTAATACCACAACAATATCGAGAATAGTCACATCAACATTGTAGATTGTCATACAAGCTTCTTGATCTGTCTTGTAAGCATCGTGATGATCAACACTTGATTTCGTTGATCAAAAGGTTAGATTATTTTTGTCTTAGTTTAAGAGTAACATTGAGTGCAAAAAAAAGTTTAGGGGCTATACTAAATTTCTTTTTGCAAAAGTTTGAGGACCTCAAATACCGCTAAACAAATATTTTATTTTAATGATACTTTTGTGTGTTCTTACTTATAACAATAATTTTATGTATATATATTTTAATTTAATGGATGTCCAATATGCATCAACATTATATTCTTATTATAAACTAAAATAATTTTGTGTTATGAAATTTCTTTTCAACTTTATTATTTTATATTTACATAACTCACATGTTAATTTTATATAATAAATTATTTTAATAATTATATTATAATTTAATTATTTAATAACTATTGATTTATCTTTTTTTTAAAAATTAAATGTCAAATATATTTTTATTATTTTCATTTATAAATTAAGTTTTTATTTATATTAATCAAACGTGTTTTTTAATTTTCAGAAACTAAAAATGAAAAATATTTTCTGAAAATAAAAATAAAAAAGGAAACATAAAATATTTTGTAAATTCAAATGGAGCTTAAAATTCTAAAGAATCTACCAAAAATCAGTTGGTCTAGTGGAATGAGACACTAGATCCCTTAAGCAAGGTTAAGGGTTTGAATGCTAACGTTTACGAATGAAACAAATTAAGTTGAGAGGGTCGTCCTCACCTTTGCAGTATCCGATCCAGATTAGTTGATCAATAGATCGAAAATGATTGATTATACGAAAAAATTCTGAAGAATCCAAATTTGATTTTTTTAATAGAATCCAAATCTATATCTTAAAAATGTTGGGAGGGCAAAATATAATAAATATAAGGAAACCTCCCATCTAATTATCTTAAGCACGCTTACAAAAAAAACTTCTAGATGAAACAAGTACAAATTAAGGTTGAGGTAGGGTTTGATTATGTTGTCCATCGTCCACAAGCCAACGTTTGAGACGTTGAGAAGCCTTGTTAACTTGTTCATCCCAATTTGTTCTCCATATTATGAACACTAGAATCATTGTTTGTAATACCACACCACTAAGCAACCCTATCCATAGTCCCTGTTAAAATAAACATCACAACTTGATCAACCATAAAGTTTCACTTAACCTTCCAATAAAATATTAGAGTAAACAACGCGTTTAATATCTAAATTATCAGTGTTGGTCTGTTTTAATACTAAATTTTAGGTACTAAACGTGTTAAGCTTTTAATGATGAGTACTAAAATGAAACAAAAACTAAATGGTAGGTATGGTTTTGAAAAAAATTGAAAATTTAGGTACTAAAACGAATCAAAACTGATAGTTTAGATACTAAACGCATAATTTATCCAAAAATGTATTTGTTCTTACCATAACTTCAAGGTTCAACACATAACCAAGCACAGCTCCAACAGGCACTCCCACACCATAATAACATCCCAAGTTCACCATTGCCACCACACTTTGAAATCCAGCCCCAACTGCTATACCTGAAATCAGAAATGGTATAGGCTTTATGTTAAGAGGCGAAAACGGATTATTAATAGTAAATATCTATAATATATGGGAATTTGAAATTTTCAAAGGACGACTGCCTTTGCCAGCCCTCCTCGGTCCATCGCTGTCCGAAACATCATCATATTACAACCTAGTACTATTTGAATTGGAAAAGTGTTGGTTTCTTACCACCTAGTACTATTTGAATGCTGTTGAACAACATTGAGATGGCAAGGAAGATTGAGAGAGATGATGCAACTTGTACAACTTGTTCACTAGTGGTGAACCAGTGGGCAATTTGAGGCCAAAACACTAAGCATATAACAAAGAATGTAACCCCAATGCAGACTGAAGTGCTCATTATTGTTTTTATTGAGAATTTCAATGCTTTTGCATTCCCTCTGCCTAATTCATTGGCCACCCTAACTCTGCAAACAACACAAAAATGTGTATTCAAAGGGGAAGAGATATCATAAATTACATAGGAAAATAGGAAGAAGAAGAAGAAGAAGAGAATTTACATTGATGCACCAAGGAACCCTATGCAGAACATTAATTCCCATGCATTGACATTGAGGCTGTATAAAATTCGAGTTAGAGCAGGTAAAGAAGAAGAAAATTTGAAGAATTAACTTACCAGATGGAGAATGCAGCAATGGCAATGGTTGCATTTTTCATATATCCAGCCAGCAACACAAGAATGGCAGTGTACCACAACTCTAAGCTGTTAATTCAGAACCAATTAGCTACCTCGAGGTGGTCGCGAAGAAATTTGACTCGAATATCCAAAACAAATGGCTAATAAATCTCATCCTAGTACACAAATTCAGAAGAGAACAGAAAAAAGCAGTGTAGGTTACCAAAGCATGAGGCCAGAGGCCATGGAGAGCTTTATTATAGGACAGAGATCATAGAAGGCAGCCTTGGAGAATCCTTTCCATGTATTGGGGCACCAGCCTCCGAAGATGAACGCGAACTCGCCGAGAACCATAAGCCAACTACATATATTCAAGGAACCCATTGCACCGGCAACACCCCAGTTAAGCTTGTACACCAAGATCCATGACAATAACATGTGAAGAGTGAACGAGGATGCACTTAGGCACCCAACAATGAAGTTCTTTTGCTGAGCTTGGAGGAACATTTGCATGGTGAGTGCAAAGACCATTTCGTAAAGCATGGGAATAAACCATAGAGATATACTCCCGGCTGCTTCCGCGATCTCATCTTCCTGCCCCAGTAGTTTGAAGATCGGTGAAGTGAAAAAGAACACCGGGAGTACGATCGTCGCTGTGAGGCCATCGACGATCCATGAGCGTTGCAGGTATATCCCCATCATGTGGTATTGTCCTGCTCCGAATGCTTGCCCACATAGTGTTTCAGTCGCACTCGACATTCCAATCTGTCACATTACATGAAAACTTATATCCAAAAACAGAATGTGAAGTTAACTAATGAGAGTTATAGATTGATTACTTACTAGAATGCCATTGATGAACCTAACGAAAATGCTTTGAATGAGTGCATAAGTGGCAAGCTCGACTTCGCCAATGTGACCGAGAAACGACTGCGTGACGACGATCATCCCGAAGGAAGTGACGCTGCTCAACATTGAAGGGAATGCAACCCTCCATATTGCCTTTGTTTCAACCCAAACTCTTGTCTTTAGACCAGTCTCGTCTTCTTCTCCTTCTTCTAGAAACCTCTGCTGCATATTGTCATCCATGGCTAATTAGATATGGAACTGAATGAAACAAATTTTAAGACACTAACTGGACGTGCTTGGTTTTGGACAAAATGGGGCATTTAATATCTTCCAAGTTTGAGTTTTTCTGCACCTACCAGCAAAGAAAAGACAGTAGTTGACTGGTAGTTCCTGTACTTTCTGGGGGTTACCTGACGTGGAAGAACGTAGTTTGACTGGTAGTTCCTTCCCTTTCCGGGGGTTGTCTTACGGAACTTTTATGCTGTTGGTTCTGAAATTTAATGTACCTGCCAATCAGGTAGTTCCATTTAAGTTTGTTTGAAGGCTTAATACAAAAAAAATAAATAAATAAAAAATCTAAATTATACTCCTTTTCCTATTTACGTATCTAAATTTTTTTCAATCAATTTACCTAACGTTACCATTTTAAGTGTTTGTCTGTAATAGTCATTAAAAGATTCCGTTAATTGACACGAGTTGATTTTGGTGATTTTAAAAATTTTATTTTTAAATTAAAACTTAAAAATATTATTATATTTAAAAGAACCTTAATTTCTTTAAAATTACAAAAAAAAACTCAAATCTCTTAACATCCCTAAAATCAACCCTAAAATCCTTAACCTAACCTTATCATCTCCATTGTCAACTGTCGTTGCCACCCTTGACATCTCGCTCGTCGACCATCATCTCCTTTGATGTCACGCTTGCCATCTGGTCGTATGAGTTTCTCAATTTTTGAAAGTTTGATTCGTCAGGTTTGCCGTTTTGTTCATCAACGATGTCGAGTTTTTGGGTTATGGGTCATCGGGTTTGTCTTGTCATCGGGTGGAGGTTCTGGTGAAAGCTCAACCGATGACAACAACAACATACGATGGCGACTAGCGTAAGTATAGGGATTGGAATTAGAGTTTTCAAAGTTTTGGATTTTTCTTAAGATATAAGAAACTTTCGAGCTTTTTTCTAAATAATATATATAATTTTTAATTTTATTGTAAATAAAATTTTCAAAATTATATAAACAAAATATGTGTCATTTAACGGAGGAATTTAATGACAATAATAATTCAGACACCTAAAAGTGTAACATTAGAAACGTTGGACACCTAAATTGACCGAAAAATAATTTAGACACCTTATTAGAAAAAAAAGATATAATTAGACACTTATTTTTATATTAAACTTTGTTTAAATAAAAAAAAACCTGATATTGAAATTAGGAGATATTGTATGAAAGATAAATCATATGATTCGAATATCAATCGTATTGAAGCATCAACTCTTGGCACTTAAGAATGAGTAGCCACTTAAACTTGAGATTCCTCCACTGGCAAGTTTTGCAGGGAGGGATAAGACATTGTCCCAAAGTGTCTCCGGAAAAGAAACAATAATATTGTTATAAGGATTAATATAATTTTAAGTGACTAATTATATCTTAAATTAATTTTATATGTTTAAAATTTTTTTCGTTAAAAATAATACGATTTTTTCTCTTATAATTTTAGATATTTACGGTTATATTTTTTAAAATAAAAATATAATTTTCTTTTTTTAAAAAAAGAAAAAATTAAATAAATAAAAATAAAAACCCTCCCCCGTCCCGTCGTCCCCCTCCCACGCTGCCTCCCCCTGCAATTCCTCTTTCTCTGCAACTCTTCATTTTATTTTTTAGCCTAAATCGAATGGAAGTCGTTACTTAAAACCATAGCACTAAACTTCCAAGAAAATACTAAAACTAACTTTAAAAATCTCTAATTTCAGTCCTCCTTACCTCGCCGGCCTCCAGAACGCCGTCGGCCAAAACTCCACCGACCGAAACCCCTTACTTCTTCCCCCAACGTTGCAACCATAATCTCCAAATCTTATCACCCAAATCCCTAAATTCTGAAGTTCTAATTAGATTGAGAAATATGCTCGTCGGTGTTCATACATGAAGGTGGAAGTTCATATACGGGGGTTGGGGTGGCCCTTAGTTGCTGAACGGGGAAGGGGGATTCAACAGCTAGCGGTAGGGGGCTTGGGGAGGAGAGTCATGCACGGGGAGGCTTTAGGAAATTAGGCATTTTGATTTTTTTTCTCAAAAAAAATGAAAATTTTAAAAAATAATAATATTAAAAAATAAAAATTTTAAAAATAATAATATTTTTTCAAAAATGATTTTTTTTAAAAAAACTATAAGCGTGTCACTTAATTTTTTGGGTAAAATATATAAATGGACATTGAACTTTTCAGACACTTGCATTTACGTCCCCTAACTTTAATAATATGCAACACAATCCTTAAACATTTAGTTCGTTTGCAATGTGGTCCCCGACGTAATCGGTCGTTTCACTGCCGATAGAAGAAGATGATATGGCACGTGAGGAAATCGTTTGCAGCTATAAAAATTAAAACAATAATACTCAAACGACGTCGTATAACATTTGGGAAAATGTAAATGGGTTTTAAACTCAAATAAGCGATAAGTCACTGAATTTTTTTTTCCAAAACGCAAATTAGGTTTATTTTGGGTTTTTTAGGGTTAGGATTATTTTTAAGAGTATTGATTGTTGCTTGATTAAATTGAGAGATAAAAGGAGTCGGTCGAAAGCTTGTTCAACTATGGTGATCAGTAAGTTATTCTTTTTGATGTATTTCAAAGTTTTTTGTTGTTGTTTTGATTACAAATGTCGTATAAAATTTTTTTATTCTGAAAATTTATAGATTTAAGTTCATGTGTTAGGCATTTTTTATTTTGGATTTATAAGTAGGGTATGCATGTGTAAATGATGTTTGATGGTATTGGATATTGAATTCTAATTTCTTATAGTTTTGTCAAATTATGTTGCATGTGTATTGGATACTGAGTTTGAATAAAATATTTTAAACATTGATGTTATTTAAATATTGGTTGTTGGAGTTAAATGTGGACCAGTTTTTTATGTTTGTTGTTTGGTTGTTAGAACTTTTAGGGAGTTGTGGTCCATATTGTGTTGGAACTTTTCATGAATAAAATATTATGCATACTTTTTTCTTTTCATTTTGAATTGAACTTATGTTTCTTTTCCTTTTACGTGTCTTAGTCCTATTATGAATACTGTTTTATTTTCTTTTTTAGTTTAACTTATGTTTCTTTTCATTTTACTTCTACTTGTCAGAAACTACTGACAATGAAACATCAAAATCTGAATGTTTTGATTATTGGTCATCTGAGCATGAAAGGTCCGAATCTGATTTTGTGGATAGTGAAAATGATGAGTATGATACAGCTGAAGAAGATGACGTAATATTTGTGACTAGTGTACGGGAGAACCTAGGATTTATACTTAATCATACTGCTTTTCAATGGTGTTTATTCTTATAGAGATACTGATGCAAAGTCATTGCATAGTGCTTCTTGTTATGATAGTAGTGGTCGTAGTAAAAAACAAAGATTTCCTGAGTTTAATATTGAGAAAGATATGGCATGCTCTAGTTTAAAGAAAAACCTCATATTTGTTGCTAAGGAAATCTTAAGAGATTTTATTAGGTAGTATGGAAGGGTTGAAATGTTTAGCATGTCATTTAAGAAGAATGATAATCGAAGAGTGCAAGTTGTGTGTAGTAAAAGGAGTTGTTCTTGGGTATTATGGGCATCTAAGTTGAACCCTAAGGATCATAATGATGACACATGGCAGATTAAGACAATTAATTAAAAATGGATGTCCCTTATTCTCATATGTATGGGGTAAGGGGGAGATAAGATAGTAGGCTGCCCCCAACAAAGGTTGAGAACAGCTTCCGTAGATTAAGACAATTAATGATGAACATAATTGTCAAAGAGGCATAAGAAATCAAAGGTTGATATCTGCCAAGTGGATTGCCAAAACTTTTTTTAACAAAATTTAAGAATGACCTCAAGTATTCAATTGTCTCACTATAGCAAGATATTAAAGAATCTTATGGAACTTATGTGTGTTTAGAAAAATCTTCTAGGGCTAGAAAATTGGTTGTAGAAAAGGTCTTAGGTTGTTTTACAGAACAATATAGCAAAATATATGAATACCTAGGAGAAGTGAGACACTCAAATCCTGGTACAACCACAATATGCAAGTTAGACAACAAACTCTTCGTTAGGTTGTACATGTGTTTGGAGGGTTGCAAACTAGGGTTTAAGAATCACTGTGGACCCTTCATTTCTCTTGATGGATGCTTTATGAAGGGTTATTACCATGGTTACATATTGGCTGTTGTGGGAATTGATGCAAATGATTGCATTTATCCCATAGCAGTGGCAGTTGTGTGGAATCTGAAAATCGTGATAGTTGGCAATGGTTCCTGCAATTATTAGGAGAGGAATTGCACATATTAAACTCTCATCATGTCACATTTATGTCTGATAAACAAAAGGTAAAAGTTTATCATTTATTTTCTATTTATTGGTTGTACTTGTTGTTTATTTGATGTTTATTTTCTATTTATGGTTGTTTATTTGCTGTTTATGGCTCTTGATATTTATTGGTTGTACTGGTTTTGAAATGTGGCAGGAACATATTGACTCAATTATGGAATTGTATCATAATGCTGAACACATAACTTGTGTTAGGCATTTATACTCAAATTTTAAGAATGTGGAGGGCTATAAAGGAAAAACATTGAAAGATTCTTTGTGGAAAACAACAAGGGCAACTACTGTGAGGGATTTTGATAGATCCATGTCAGAAATAATAGGGTTGTCCAAGGATGCTTATAACTAGTTAAAGTAAAAGGACGCTGCCATGTGGTCTAAATCTCATTTTCCACAAGATCAAAATGTGACCTCTTATTAAACAACTTTTTAAAATGTTTAAATAAAGTATATATAATTTCAAAATTAATTTACTATGAATTCAATGTTATTTTGATCTTACTAATGTCTTTTGACCCTTTTATATTACAAGATTATTCTGGAGGCAAGGGACAAGCCCATCCTAACCATGATGGATATTATTCGAAGATGATGCATAGAATTTCTAAAAAGGGAGAAGCTACTCAGAAGTCTTCTAGTTTAACGTGTCCTAAAATTTAAAAGAAGGTGGACACATTAATTGGGCAAGTTGTTAGATGTTGGCCATCACATGTTGGGGGTCCAAGATATAAAGTTGTATTTGGTCCATCTGACCAACATGTTGTGGATCTAGAAGTTAGAGATAGTTCTTGTAGGAAATGAGGTCTTACATGTATTACTTTATGCTTTTCAGACTTTAATTACTTGATGTTTATTTGTTGTTTATTTGCTATTTAGTTGTTTTTTTATTTGTTTTTTATTTACTATTTAGTTGTTGTGAATTCAATGTTATTGGATATTATGTTTGTTTATTGGTTGTTTAGTTGCTACGTTATAATTTACTTGCTATACTGGAGTGGATCTAGAATTGAGTTGTTGTTTAGTTACTATGTTACAATTTATGTATGTTTATTGTCTGTTTTGATGGTATTGGATATTTATGTTAGGGTCATAATGTGTACATGATGTTTGATGGTCTTGGATATTTATGTTTCTCAACAGGGATTCCATGTGCACATGTTGTCTCAGTGATGTTATTGATTTAAGAGAGGCCAGAGAATTATGTTAACAATTGCTACCATAGGTCAACTCAAATCCAGCTGTATTATAACTTTATCTACCTTATCTGAGCAGTTAATCAGTGGTAATCGATCCCATCAATGGAGCCAATACTTCCTCCAATTCAAAGGAGGTCACCTGGTAGGCCTAAAAAACAAAGGAAAAAGACTGCTGATGAACAACAAAGTGGTCCTAGTAGGGGGGAAATGACCCTATAAATTAAGTGCTAGAAATATGGTAAAGCGGGCCACAATATAAGGACATGTAGAGGTCAGGTCAGAGGTAATTCTAGGTTTAACACACCACTTCCTTCAACAACAACACATCCATTAGCCTCAATTGGTACACCTCCAGGGTTTTCATCATCTTCAACTGCTCCACCTTTCACTCTATATCCATCTGCTGCCAGAGTACCAAAATTATCGGTCATTATTAATTCTCATCAATCTTTATTATTTCTTTTAACTAACAACTATCATATATTGGCTTTTATAGTTTATTGGCCTTCTACAGCAACTACCCAAGTGCCACATCCCACCACCTCAAGAACAACCAAGTCCATATCAATTGTTAATCAAATGAAGAAACTCGAAAGGGTTGCAAGAGGACAAATCCCACCACCTCAACAATAACCAACTCCATATCAGTTGTTAGATGAATGTTGCAATCACCTTCTCCCTCTGAAATACAGTGATGCAGGATTGACAAGAATCAATTTTCAGTTTCAAACCAAAAAATATTGATAGATGTTAACAAGAGCTTCAATTTGTGTTGATGGATGTTAAGAGGGATTTTTTGTGTTCATGGATGTTAACTGCCATTTTTTGTGTTAATAGATGTTATATGTCATCTTTTGTGTCATTTTTGTGTTGATGAATGCTAAGTGCTATCTTTAGTGTCATTTTTTGTGTATGGCATAGTTGCTTAATCAATATGGTATGGTTGCCAAAACCATATACCATGATATATGGTAACATTTGGATGTAAATTAATGCAAATGATAATAGAAACAACATTACATTTTGTTATGAATTTTTTTCCATTTTGCTCTTTTTTATTTTTAATAAATTCATATTGTTATTCAAAATTGATATAAACATTTAAACAAACCTCAAATTTATATTGAAGTAAACACTGTCAAAAAACAAATTTATGTTCAAAATTTCAAAATACTTCAATTACATTCTAAACCCCAAATTCCAAAATACTTCAATTACATTTTAAAACCCACATTCCAAAATACTTCAATTACATGCTCAACCTCAAACTCATAATACATTCTCAAAATCTTCCATATCAAACTGAACTTGAAGCAATAACCTTAAACCCTCAAAACATAACCCTAAATGTTAAATTTCCCCACCAATTAACCCAACATAATCAACAACAAAAAAATCCCCAAACAAACCACCCAAATCACTCGCTCAAGCCTTCTTCCTCTCTCAATGGTTCTCATCTTCTTTAGCAAACCAACAATAACAGTACGTGAATATGAATTCAATGGGGGATCATACCAAACAAAGAAATTACAATTTATTCTAGAACACCCATAATTAACGCATCCAAAGAATCTCCTTCCAGTATTCTTATTCGTCCAAGTTCTGCGTAAAATAGCTGACATTCCACAAAAACAAGTTGGGATTGCATTTGGAGGTGTATCCATTGCTTTCAATTGTTGACCAAACAAAGAGAAGAAGAGGACTTTTATTTTTTAGGGTTTAAGGTTTCAATTTAGAGGAACAAAATCAGGTTTGTTGTTTTTAGTCTGATTCAATTGAGGTTTATTCACCTGCAAACGATTTCCTCACGTGTCACGTCATCTTCTTCTAATAGTAGTGAAACGACCGGTTACGTCAGGGACCACATTGCAAACTAACTAAATGTTTGATGACTGTGTTACAAGTTTTAAAAGTTGAAGGACCTAAATGCAAACACCTGAAAAGTTCAATGACCATTTATGTACTTTAATTTTTTAACAGCTGTCACGGTCCAACACCTCAAAGTATAACGTTGAAAACGTTAGGCACATATTTTTAACAAAATATTCTTTAGGCACCAAAAGTTAATTTGAGATATAGTTTAGACACTTAAAAGTGTGTTAAGCCTTGTTATAAGTATAACAATACGAGATGAAAGAAAAAGAAAAATCAAATAATTTATTAATAATTGAAGAGTGTATTTTAGAATAAAAAACCTGATTTATGACAAAATAATGAACTGAAAACAAGTTGAGACCTGTAGCTACACGGTTTCCTTAAAACAGATTTTCGATCATTCTTTAATGCTTGAGGTCGTTGGTCGTCTATCTCCCATGATCCAACAAGTATAATGGAGGTAAATATGTTGCTTGTACAAAACTGAATCCCGGAATCCCTGCTGATTTCTCCATGTCATCTATCTGTATTTACCTGCCTAAGGAAAAACAAGAAGGTTTCATGTCACAACTAAAATCTTATATTCGTATTATATCACATCATTTACTCATAAACTTACTTAGTCAGCTCGAATCCATCAAGACTTGGTTTGTATTAAAAGCATATCCAGGTCTTGGCAAAACCTGAAGAAACTTCTCTAAATTTCCGAGAAAGTTCATCAAGTACTTGACTGAATAACAAGCCAACTCGGTACTTCACCTGCATAGCTGTTATTGATCTTCTCTTCTCTCTCTGTCTCGACCTTAATTTCGGCTTTAGCTCTCTCAAAATTATCCAAAACAGGCAACAAATTTTCAATCATCATTACTTGACAAAGCTTCTTTGTATGATCGGAGCAAAGATGAAATGGCTGAAGATGTTTCTTCGACATCACTACACTAATCTGCGACGGCGTCGTCTTCAGCAGTGACAACACCATCTGAGGAGTCCTGTTACATAGAGGACATACCAACATAGAGAACACACTCCTTTTATGTTATCTTGCAACAGATCACCGACAATGACAATAAGTTACATAGAGGGATGTGTTAGTTCTCATTTAGTAATCTTGATTATATCTGTTCGTGTGGAAGAAAAGTAATCTTGAAGAATGAAACTTTTTGAGACATCAAATATTTAGAATCTCTAGCAGGCATAAGCAAGTAAATACAAAGTCCAGAAAAAGAAAGAAAAACCAAAGGATTAGAGATTAAGTAACACTTCTAAACATGGTAATATATATTTGCAGGAAATAAAGAGATTGTCACAGCAAAGTGATACAGATACACGAGGGACAGAATGTGAAAAGGGTGGCATTGATGCCGGAGAAGAACAACGGCGGTGAAGTGTGAAACTCATATCTAAACAATATGAGATTTGAGAATCTCACGACCAAACATGTTAATTTTAAACTATCAAAGACAAGTCTTGAACTTGATCAGAATTATGTCACTACGACAGTAAAAGATAGTGTGAAGCAGATAGTGGCGGTTATGGCTAGGAGAACTAAAACCAATAAGCAGAAAAAGGATTCTAATTTTATTCAAAAGAACCTGTTTATAAAATGGGATATTACACTTGACTAATAACTAACTTCTTCTAACACAGAATAAACAGCTTTTTATCAAAGCACTCAAAGCCGTAAGTCTTTTTATAGATATGCATAAGCAACTTTGAAATAGGTGATCAATACATCAAAGTTCAGTTATTACATTATGGCACAAATAAATGAAGCCAGGTTACATTTATCTCCAGAAAGGAGCTAACAACCAGATTCAGCTATAAATTTCTATCAAATCACATTTCACTTTCAAGATGAACAGCATTGAACCAAATATAAAGTTGTCCCCTGTAACTTCAGCTTATAACATGCTTAGCAACCATGCAATAGATCTGACAAAGATCAATGCACTCAAAACCAAGTCCTGAGTCCCCCCATCTTCAACCAAATTCTCATCGGTTTCAGCTTGACTTCATCTCAATAGCCTAAAAGAGAACAATCTCCTAGTTCATTGCTAGGCTTCACTGATTCTCCAAATTCAATCCACACATTGCGCATTTTATCCTCCATGTGAATTTTCAAATAATTTGTGTGGATTCCATTAAAAATCCCTCTAAACACACATAATCAAAGAATGCTATGATAGCTAAGAAATATCAAAATGCTTCCAAGTTTAGTTGATGAGAACTGGAAAACAACAAAAGTGAACAACATTTACTATCCAATATTGGGTCGAGCAGCCGCAGAAAGAAAAAGAAATTGATTGCCTCGACATTTGACTTGTTCACAACCCATGTCTTCTTATGTCTATTTGAACATGATCGAGGACAATAAACATGGGATAACTTAAACTGGATTCCACTAGAATCCCTCTAAACATTCATATAATGATACAAAGCTATGATAGCCAAGAAATATCAAAAAGCTTCAATGTTGAGTAACTGGAACAACATTAATCATCCACTACTGTGTTCAGTAGCTGCAAAAAGAAGAAGTATTCTAATTGGTAAAGTTAGTAAGGAAAACATATCCAATCGATAAAGCTACAAAGAAGGAAAGATACTCGACAAGAAAATTCCTTGACATGACTAAATTTTATACATTATCAAGTTACATCTTTTTGCTCATTTCTAGCATGCTTCACCGTTAATTTCCAAAACCCATATTCATTTTTGTCAAATTGACAGGGAAAAAAATAATATAAACGTATAAACTAGGCCAAAAAATTCACAAGCAGAAAAATAAAACTAGAAAAAGGAAATGGAAACCATTATAAGTTACCTCAATTTGGGGTTCTTGAACTTATTGTTGGGTATCAGTAGTTTCAGCAGCAAAAGGAACCAACTTCACGAACCGAAGAGAGGAAATGAAGTAGCCATGGACGAGGAAGTCTTTGTTTGAAGCAGACATGGAAGGGCTTTGAAGAGTTCAATGAGAAGGTCGTAACACGTGGAGCTAGAGGAGAAGGTGACTTAAACGGCGGCGTTTTAAGGAGAGTAGCCATCTTTGAGAATGCGAGAGGTGTGGAGAAGACGAGGAAAGGGTGGGTGACAGACAGGTAAAAGAGAAAAGGTTGAGGTTTGATATCGGCCGTTGGATGATTGTTTGCTAAGCAGATCTAAGGAACCGTTGGATGATGTCCTAAATACTATTTTGGTACCTAAGCTTTTTTTCTTTTATCCATTTTAATCTCCTAACTTGAGAACTTCTGATTCTTTAATTAGGATTTTTAGTCTCTTGATGATATGTCACTTTCTACACCACCATTTGAAAAATTTAAAGATAAATTATAAGTTTAATTATTATTATTATAAGGTTTACATAAAAAAGTGTTCAAATTGCATTTTTTCCTTGTAGGTATCTAAATCTTTTTCGGTTAATCCAGATGCCTAATGTAATAAATATTACCGTTTTAAGTGTCTCGACCGTAACGATCATAAAAAAATTTGTTAAGGGACACATGCCACGTTTAAAATTTTAAAATTTTTTTAAAAATAAAAAACTTAAAATTATATTTAAAAAAACCCTCATTTTTTCTCAAATATAATTTTCTGAAATCTAAAAAAAAATCCAAAACACTAAAATCTTCAAACATAGTTATCATGGTCACCGCCGCCATTGATGAACATCCACCCTAACTATCGTCCTCACCAATGATTAATCATCGCCCAAATCTCCTAAATTCCTAAACTTAAATCTTTAAATCCCTACAATCTCAAATATTCTAATCCCTAAAATTCCTTAAATCCTTTTAGTCGATCGTTTAGACAATGACAGCTGGTCGATAATTCGGTCACCCATTTCTTCTCTTCAAGTAACAGACATTAATATGAGGTGGAGGTCTGTCAATTGATTAACGCGATTGGGGGGGGGGAGAAGAGGGACACAAGATGAGGGCAGAGGTGGGGGAAGAAGGGACGGTAGGAAAACTTAATTTTTTAAAATGATTTTTTTGCAAAAATTTTCATTTTTTGATTAAAAAATTAATTTTCAAAAAATATAAACATGATATGTAACATGCCAAAAGTTAAATGACCAAAATGATATAAAAAAATTGGTGTCAAGGTCTAAATTTAGGGAAAATTTGAAGAATTTATTTGGTAATTTATCCATTAGATCAAGATGATTTCCCATGGACCATTGGATCTAAAAGATAAGATTGACACTAAAATTTATTTTAATGACAAAATGGTCTTTGGACATTCTATAGAATTAATTTAAACCATAGAATGATTATAAGTGACATGGGACATATATTATTACAAGCAATATATATGTTTGTATATATAATGAGGTATGAATTGCCCTATTATAATAGGTATTATATTGTTATTAAATAAATAATGTGAGATGATCATAGGTATTAAATGTTATAAGTTATTAAATATTATAAAGGTTTGTATATATATTGCCCAAGTATATTGAAAGAAAGTGGCCGATATAATGGTCTATCATAGAGTTCATGACTGTACAAATTTCATACTTCAGTATGATGCATAGTTCCACCTTTCAAGGTGATGCATAGTATTCCGCCTTTCAAGTTGTTGGATAGTATTCAATCGTTCAGGGTGATGCAGAGTATTTCATCTTTTGAAATGATGTACTGTTTCATACTTTAGTATGATGCATAGTATACTTGCTTACCTTATATCTCTTAAATTACTTTGGGCATATGAAGAAATGAATAAAATATTTACAAATTACAAATTGTGCAATTTATAGAGATTGAAGAAAACAAACCTTTTATGGTTATGTTGTTTAGATGGATCTTAGGCAGTCATGTTGCCTAAACTATATGGTTGCTTGGATTATATTGTTGTTTAAATCTATGTTGTTTATATCGCATTTAGTTATATATTAAATGTGTGTTTTAATTGTGCACAGATGAGTGGCACGAGAACGTGAAGTGAGCAATTTTGCATTGTGCTTTTTGGATGGATCTACAGGGTATCGTAGTATGTTTTGACGTCCTATATGATGTTTTTGGATATAGTGGCATATATGTATATGATATATTTATTTTATCTTATAAATAACCCTTTTACCTATTATGGCTATTAGTAATTTTTTGTAATAGTAAATATAAGGTTATTAATTTTATAGATATGTATATTTATTTATTTTCCTAATGATTAACATTTTTGCATATGTCTAGGATCTTCTGTTAAGAGAAAAAAAAAGGAAAAAGAAAGAAAATAGTAAGAATTTTAAAATAAAACAATTCAACCAGTTATTCCATAAAGCAAAGTGAACAGGGGGAAACCTATACAATTACACTTTTAGACAAATATATACTGATTTGTATGCATGCTCGTTTTGTCTGGGGCTCTCATTCGAGTCTTTACTCCAGTTTATATATATATATTATTAATTAGTTATTATTACCAAGTTGTGCATGTGATTATCTATTTATATTATTATTAGTTTATTAGTTGTATGTGTTTTAATTATGTATTGACTGTTTATTTAATTATATTTATAGTTATGCTTGTGGTTATATATATATATATATATATTTATGGGTATATGAAATTATATATATATATATATATATATATATATATATATATATAATATGTTATGATAATTGGATTCACTAGGTAAATATTTTATTTTTACAGGCTCGAATTGCCAAAATTAATTACAACAAACCCAAACCAATGAAGAGCCAAGGATTCAGCAGCCTAGTAGCCAAACCCGGACTGAAATAGCAGCCCAGTGCGGCAGCCCACTCGTAAAAACCCTAGACCCACTAGGGTTTTTTGTCACCAGCTCACAGCGCCGCAACAGAAGGACCATCAGATTTGGAGGTCCCCATCGAACGACTCAGGATGGATGATAACAACTTTAGGGTTTCTTAAACCCTAAGGTTCCATGCGCAACTGAGTTTTGGCCGTTAGATTTGGATCCAAGATCAAACGACTCACAGCACTCTCAATGTCCCCGAGTTGGCACATGTGATGCACCCAAGGCTCCCCAGCTCCCCAGCTCCCCGAGCGGCCAGATCTCGTAGGTAGAGATCACATTTGTTACTCCAACCGTGACCTGAGCCTCCTAACACGTACCAGCACCTCAGCCAGCTGTGGTACCCGATTGTTTGTTGCAGGAGCAGCCCGTCCCTCCTGCCACATTCCTCTGTTGTAGCAGTGGCAGAGGCTCCCTCATGCATGCAAACAAAAGCCACAGATGATCAGGAAATCAGAAGGAAAAAAAGAAAAGGAAAAATCAAAATAAAAATGAGGATATATATATCCATCAGCAAAAAAGAAACCATCATCAACAAAGAAAAAACATAACCAGATCGAGCAAAAGAAAAAACCATCAGCAGCTAGAGAACCAAACCAAGAGCAAAAAAAAACACATAGCAGCTCACAAAGAAATACCCCTAGATGTTAATGAGCGAGTCACCCACCCAAAAAAAAAGAAAAAAACTGTAAAAAAGCATACCTTTCATGTCCAAAAAATCATTTCGCCGTAGCTCAGAGTCAAAACCTCGTCGAGTCTAAGGTAAACCCCTCGCCTTTAACACCAGTTGAGTGATCCTAGGGCTTTGGGTTTCTTTTCGAGGTTTGAGTCAAGAGGGTAAAGGGCTTTGAGGGTTTTAGGTTAGGTTTCTTTAAAATATTGGTTCCTCGTCGGAGCCATGGTGGGGAGGAGGTCACGATGGTTGTGTGGTTCGACAATGAGGGTTAGGGGTTAGGTTATATCTACTGTTTTGGGTTCTGTTTGTTTGAGAGGGTCGACGAGTGGGGGGTTTACTTGACTTTTCGTAGGATCAGTTTAAAGGTGGCAGCCGCCGTCGGAGAGGGAAGCAATGAGAGAACGAAGAGAGTGGAAGAGGGTTTGAGAGAAAACGGCTGAGGGAGATTTGGTGGAAGCTGATAAATTGAGTTAGGTTAAAGAAACTTACCCTAAATATCGTATATATGGGAATGCCAAAACGACGTAGTTTGAGAGATGTGTGAAACGGCCGCGTATTAGGAGGCTAGGACCGTCCGTGTTCTATCGGGTGGGGATATTTGCATGAGAGGCCCTTGTATTTTCAACCCATCGCATTATAGTCCTTAAATCGAGCCTTGTTGAGCTTTTAATTTTGTCTCTTAATTTTTTAGGTATTTCATTTCAGTCCAATATCATGTTATGCTTATTTTTACGATGTTTTTACGTTTGGTATGTAATTTGGGAAACTTTTATTTTAGTCATGTGTATCTCTTTGATTATATTACGTTTGCAGTAGCTGGTGTCGACACTAGTTTTTGTCCGTTTATGTTATTATTATATATAACATATATGTTATTATATATGTTATTATTAAATAATATTACAAAGCCCAATATTACAAATATAACTTGGAGGCCCATTTACAAGTGAAGACCTGGATCCTACCCAGTCGACTCGAGACAAATACAAACCCGGAGGCTCAGAAGTATATTCGACCCGGGGGCCCAACGGACTCGGTTCAGGCCCGAACTAAACCCTTGGGTTTCTACTCATCTTCTCCAGTGCCGCCAACCTCCTTAGCCGTTCGATCAAGATGGAGATGGAAGGCCCAGATCTTCAGTGACACTTTACCACCGTCGCTGTCACCATCAGACTCCACCGCCTCAAGCAGAATAATCCAGAAGAGAAATATAAGCCGCACACCTCACTACCCTATGGTGAGTCACCACCATAGATCTGGTGACTCATCAGGTAGGATCATCATTGTGGCTGACTTTCGAGGGCTATAAAAAGGCCCATTACCTGCAAACGAAGAACGACAGAGACGGAGAGAGATAAAAGAAACGAGAGAAACAAAATAAGAAAGAAACGGAGAGCAAACTATACACCAACATCAGCGAAGGCAAGAAAAAGAGAAAAGAGTGAAGAAGCTTACCAACGTTGAAGTTTAAACGTCGTCAGAAAGTCGAGAAAACCGAAGGTAAACTTGTAGATCTAGGCCGATTTATTGATCTTTAGGCTACAAGGATGATAGATTTGGGTTGAGGGAAGGATGAGGATCATTTCGGTGGATTTTTTAGATCGCTGGCCGCCGTCGGTGGCGGCCAGA